TAGAGTGTCAGGGAGGCGGGTGACTAGGTGGTAGAGAGTGAGCCAGAGTGGGGGTGGGTTCTTGGCAAGGAACTCATCAGGCATGGCGGCGCGGAAGCGAGCCTCACTAGTGCGGAGGTGCGTAATGAGGTCAGCGACTGTGTGGAAAGAGGCTAAGTCGGGGAACAGGTAGGGAAGAGAGAGACGGCCTAGTGCGGCAGAGGCCGGTGAGGAGTAGCGGGCAACGACGGCAGTGTACAGTGCCTGTGCAGTCTTGTGCTGCCCAAAGTGCTCACGCTCATCTATCGGCAGGGAGTTGCGAATAGCGAAGCGAGCGTGGGCGTCACGAGTCTGCCACTGTGAGCGGGCAGTGCTGTCAGCAGTAGCAGCAGGAGCAGGAGCATGGCCTAGGGCGTGATCGTACAGTGAGATGTCCTCCTTGGCAGTGAGCTGTAGGAAGAGGTGTAGGTCATCTAGCCAGGTTTCGAACTTCACTGGGCGGCCCTCAGCATCGAAAGCCAGCACAGGAGGGCTAGCCATAGCAGTAGTAGGAGTAATAGCAGTAGGGGCACCCCAAAAACAGTAGGGAGTGCGACTCAGGTAGGGCGGCTCGGTCCAGTACGGGCGGCGCGGCTCGGTTCAGGTAGGGCGGCGCAGCTCGGGAAGGGCGGCGCGGCTAGGTTCGGGCGGCGCGGCTCGGTTTGGGCTGGGCGGCTCGGTTCGGGTGGCTCGGTTCGGGCGGCTCGGTTCGGGCGGCTCGGTTCGGGCTGGGCGACTTGGTTCGGGCTGCTCGGGTCGGGCGCCTCGTTCTGGGGGGGCCGTTCGGGGCCTCTAGGGGCGAGCGCGAGGCCGTAAGGGGCCGCTAAGGGCGAGCGCAGGGCCGATCGGGGCCTCTAGGGACGAGCGCGGGGCCGTAAGGGGCCGCTAAGGGCGAGCGCGAGGCCGTTCGGGGCCTCTAGGGGCGAGCGCGGGGCCGTAAGGGGCCGGTAAGGGCGAGCGCGGGGCCGTTCGGGGCCTCTAGGGGCGAGCGCGGGGCCGTTAGGGGCGATCGCGGGGCCGATAGGGTCGCTAAGGGGCGAGCGCGGGGCCGTAAGGGGCGAGCGCGTGGGCCGACGGGGCCTTAAGGGGCGGCGCGCGAGTCGCTAAGGGGCGGGTCGCGGGTCGCGGGGCCTTAGGGGGCCGTGAAAAAACAAGGCGCCCTAGGGCGCAGTTAGGTAGGTAGGTAGGTAGGTAGTGGTGGGCCCTAAAAAAACGGTCCTAGCGAAGGACCTGCTCTATACCATGTTGAAATGAACGAACAGGAATGATTGAACTAACAGTGAAATCAGTACAAGTACCTAACCCTAGAATTGTGTACCCCCTATAGGCTAACCCACTATAGCCTAAATAAGAAGAACATATATAATGTTTGACAGGGGAGACCACACACCCGCCACCCCCCACTCGCCACCCCCAAACCCGAACACAGGGCAGGGCGGGATGGCGGGTAGAGAGGTTACGGGGGGGGGGGGGCGACGCGCGGCCTCCTTGGGCGCCAAAGCAGGCGGCAGAAGGGGCGATGCTCGCCCCCCTCCCCCAGGTCGCTCCTCCCGTCGCCCGTCGAGGCGACCTGAGGGGGGCCGCGTGCGGCCCCCGAAGGAGCCGCGACGGGCGACGGGAAAAGGGGGGGGGGGGGGGGGGGGGGGGGGTGCACGTGCCCCTGGTGCGCCGCGGCTGGCGACGAGGCATGGCCGGGGCGGGGCCGGGGCCGCAAGTGGCGGCGACGGGGCCGCTGGCGGCGACGACGGGGCCGCTGGCGGCGGTTCGGGGCCGATAGGAGCGGCGATGGGGGGCGACATGCGGGTCCCCGTCGCCCGTCGCAGCGCCTCCCGGGGGCGACGCGCCGAGTGACGGGGCAGAAACCCGTCGCGCGCCTCGGGGCGCACGGCGGGCAGAAAACCGCCGCGCGCCTCGGGGCGCATGGCGGGCAGAAAACCGCCGCGGGCCTTGGGGCGCACGGCGGGAAGAAAAACTGCCGCACGCCACGGGGCGTGCGGCACAGAGAGTAGCAGTAGCAGTTGCAGCGGAAGCAACGAGGTGGTGAGCCCACCCACAGGATCGATCCAAGGGGATTGACCTGCTCTGATAGCATGTGAAAGTTTAGAAGAAAGAAGGGGGTTGCACTAGCAAGAATGAGGATACAAATAGCAAACCCTAGAAGGGTTGTACTCGCTATAGAGCACCCCACTACAGGCTAGAGCATAATATTCTGACACATCTCTACGCCCTACCGCTACGCGACAGGAAACCACGAGGAAGGATCCACTCTACTCAAATCTGCCGGGATACGCGACTACCAGAGAAAGCTAGGATGCCTTCTCTTCGCATCCGTTACCTGCCGCCCCGACCTCTCATACTCCGCAAGCTAGCTCGCCACTCATCTCAAAAGGCCTGAAGCAAAACACATGGCCGAACTCGACCGCGCTCTACACTATCTCGTCAGTACGCCAACAATCGGCCTAACATATCACAAGAACGCGACCACGCCACCTAAGCTAATCGGTTACGTCGATGCAGATCACGCGGGCGACTCCGACAACAGACGATCACGCACCGGCTACATCTATCGCTTCGAACCTATCGAGCCTATCTCCTGGCAATCGAGCAAGCAGGAAATAATTGCTCTCTCCTCAGCTGAAGCAGAATATATTGCACTCTGCTCAGCCACCAAGGAAGGACTCTATCTTCGCGAGCTGCTGGAAGAAGCGAAGTTAGCCGAGTTACCCAACTTTACCCTGTTTTGCGACAACCAGTCGGCAATTCGCATCGCCAACAAGAACGGCTTTGCGAACAGGACGAAACACATCGCCCTGCGATACTTCTTCGTGAAGGACGAGATCGAGAAGGGAAGGCTCGAGCTGTCATACTGCCCCACGTCCGAAATGGCAGCCGACTACCTGACCAAGAAGCTCGGAAAGCAGAAATTCGAATATTGCATGCTGCTGACTGGATAGAGCCACGTCAGCGACACTCCAGAAGCGAAGGGGAGTGTTGGAAACAATCGGTCCTAAGCGCCTCTGTCGTGTCGAAACACTAAAAGACACAAGTGAAGCAACGCATATCGAGGCACCAGCGAGTCAACCCTCGGAAGTTGAAGCAACAGCTGGAGGTTACGCGTGTTGGAAATATATTTGTGTGTTATTTATCTTGCAGTGCACTGTTCTAAGTGCAGAAGCGAAGCCCTCAATATCGGGGGTGTTGACTCAAGTATCGAACTGCAGGGGCGCAACCGCGTACAGTGGTTGCGATCCGCGTGGCAGCCGAAGGGTCGAATTGAGCAAGAGGCAGCGTCTACAGTACGCGAAACCACCCTGGAGGCGCGGCAGAATACTGCGCCCTTGCCGAAGCTGAAAGGTCTCGCCAGTAACTGGGCAACTGAAACGTTACAGCGCAACTGTAATACAGTTGCGCCTTGGTAACTGCCTCCCTGCTATGTTTCCTATATAACTCAATGTACTGCCATGCTATCATTACACAATTCTCAAGCTTGTGTCCGGCCTACCCTCGGCCGCCGCTTTGGCACCAAGTTACAAGCCAGGAGAGCTACCTCTGAGTGACCATAGCCCCGCCGCTGGGACGTCGTTATTTCCTAGAGTATTTCCGCTACTCTAGCGACCTCCTAATTTCAACAACGCGAAGATCAAAGGTCAGCGACCTTTGACTTGACAAATGCAGCGCGACAGCAAGGACACACAACTGACTTGATATTGAGCAGTTGCCCGAGTCGCACTGTATCGAACCGCAACAGCCAACAGTAAAACAGTTATCATTCGTATCTCTTCGTATTCCTTGTAATCATATATAAAATCTTGTATCTCCTTGTTTTAATCAACTTACTTTGCCCTCACATACTAGCGCAAGGTGGTTCAGAATCTCTTTGTTAACGCTTCCGCCACTACATCATTCTACCCAGAGATTAACCCTACCAAAGATCCTAAGGGGCACTCAGCCCAACAACTCGCTGGTGCTTCAATAATGTTTTGCTTCGCTTGTGTCTTGGTGTTTCGACACGACAGAGGCGCTTAGTTTAATTGTTTCCAACAGCAACCACCATTTGATTTCCAAAAGCCTACCTGCATATCACTTGGTTGGATCCTAGAGGGGATGTTATTCCGTTATTACATGGTAATATATATTTGCTCAGCTGTACAGCTGTAATAATGGTAAGAGAAGTTACCCCCACTAGAACATCAGAATTGTTAGAACGAGAGGTGGTCGTACATGTAACGGGTTGGGACGACACGCGCGGAAACACACCACATCACAACCACCCACCATCTAACTAACACGTGGAAACGACCAACCGACAAACGAGTACAATGGCGCAACATGCGCCTCTTGGCGACCCAAAGGAGACAAGCTCTGTCGGCTCTGGTGTAGTTGCCCCCCCCCCTCTGGGTGGACCGTTGCCAGCGTGGAGCTGACATCAGGTCCTCGTTATGTCAGACAAGCGCCACTGGTGCCTTTTGTCGCTGCGCATACCCGACATAGGAGCTTGACGCTTGGCGGCTGGCAGTGCTGCTGGTTACAGTGCAGCGATGTGGCGAAACAGCCTTTCGAAATGATTCTAATACCCGGAGCCGCATCTGCCTAAAATGTGCGGATGTGATGGGTGGGATGATGGGAAATCCCCAAAGCAGCAGAAACAGCAAGATCCTACATGCTTCTTCACCTACCGCCATAGCTTGCACTCGCATCGCTTGGACGCACCTCGAAACCCAGCTCGAAACGCCCGTATCTGCAGGATGAGGCGCAGATGCCCTGTCGCGAGCTCAAGCTTCTAAATGTCGGCTTCGAGGGTTTTCTCCAAAACAGCCTTGAGCGACACGTTCATCGGACAGAGCCGCAACCATTGCTCCCCCTCCCCCCCATCTTCGTGCAGCTCCTTCCTCGCGCGTAACCTGCCCAGAACTTGTGTTCGCAGTCCTTACTAATTCACGACAACAGTTCCCCGAAAGATACGGTAGTAGTCTATCATCAGAATGGGTATCGCACGGCCGTGCAGGAGAGGTTCGCCTCTCGTCATCCTCGCATTTCTCGCATGCGGTCTGTCCCTTGCCATCACCATCGACGCGTCGCAGTCGTTACCAAGCAACGGCTTCGCAACGCGCTACGAGCAGGCATTGACGGAAACCCTGCAGCTGAGCCCCCAACTCAAGGAGATCTACAGAGCAGCGAGGCTCAGGGACTCGGTGCCTGACGACGATGGCGAAAATGACGATATTGGCGAAGAAAACGGCTCTCGTCGCCAATTGAAAGACGCGCCGAAGAAGCAGTTTGGGCTGAATCCCCCGCCGCTCAACTCAGGGCCCAGCATGGCTGACGTCAACAACACGTTTTTCCGTTTCGATTCCGTCACGCCGAACGCGGTGGTGGACTGGCGTCAGACGATGTACATCTCGCCCATCCAACGGCAGTACCAGGTACTGCCGCCGCGTCCTGAACGGCCGCCCGCCAGAGGTGGAAAGTTGGTGGTGAAAGAAAGCTGTGAGGATTTTTTCTTGCCCGACGCACCACTCTTTTTACACGTATATTCATGTCGCCGACGTTCAGCAGTAACAACTTGTTTGCTATCTTAACTTCCATTCTGTCATATGGCAGTGCGCTAGCTGCTGGGCGATCGCAGCCGTTGATTCCATCTCCATGATGTGGGCGATCAACACCAACTCGCTACCAGCCATCCTTTCCCCGCAGCAAGTGCGTGTAATGGAGTTTTGTACTTCTCATCAGATATTCCTGAACCCTATCTTTGGTGTAGCCATGCAACATCGTAAGAACTACTGTACATATCCGAGTTCGAGTGTTCCCTCTTGCAACTGGCAGGTGTGCGACTGCGGGACAAAGCAGTGCTGCCAGGGCGGTTGGCCCGACTGGGCCTTTTCGTACGTACTCTTTAATGGCGGCATCACTTCCGTGGATAACTACCCCTACATGGCTAACGACAGTACAGTGTGCTTGGCTAACTCACTCACACCGACCACTGCCCAGGTCAGCCATACAAAACGGTTTAGCTCGTTCTTTCCGAATCCCATTTTCGCTTTCCTGTCAGTCGCCGTGTCACGGCTTGCTCTAATCTCTTCATCAACGCAAGGACGTCTTCTCTCGTCCCACATCTTTTCCTCGCCGCATCTCTTTCTGATTTCGCGTTCTTCCTCCCCTCTCCCTCCTCCCCTCGTCCCCGCCGCAGATCACGGGGTGGGAGCTGGTGCCGCCGTACAGCGCGCAGGCGCTGATGAAGGCAGTCAGCATGCAGCCCGTCGTCGCCTTCCTCAGCGGCTCCGCGCAGGACTTCCAGCAGTACAACTCGCGCGGACAGCTCAAAATTTACGACGGGCTGTGCACCACGGACATCAACCACGCGGTGCTGGTCGTCGGGTATAACTACACGGGGCCCAGCCTGGCGGGCAGCTATTGGATCCTGAAGAACACGTGGTTCAACACGTGGGGCGACGGCGGGTACATGTACCTCGCCATGTCGCCCGACGTGCGCGGGAAATGCGGCATCCACGCGTGAGCACTTCGTTTCTTCCCTCTTCGTCTCTTCGTCACATCCTCCAGCAATCCGCCCTCCCCACCCCCTTCCGTTCAACCATCTCTTCAATCCTTCCCCCCTCACGCCTTGGATTCCATCCCCCCCCTCTCCGCCTCCCCCCCACAGCATCCCCGCCATGTACCCGGTGTACTACCCGAGCGGGCCGCAGCCCGTCAAGATGAACAACGGTCCCATTTCGCGCGCCGACGACGGCAACGACGGCCGCTGGTGGACGCGCGCATATACCGCCGCATCGGACGCGTGCTCCGGGATCAACCCGTGCGGCGCGGGGCGCTGCTACACGCGCGCGGGCATGGCGCGGTGCGACTGCAGTGCGGTGGCGGGGATGGTGGAGGTGACGGGCGTGCCCACCAGCAAGTGCGTTCCGCGCAACCCCTGCTCCAGCCGCGGCCAGTACAACCCCTGCGGCAGCGGCACGTGCGTCAACCCCGGCGATGGTACCTACTCGTGCCAGTGCCCCGCCGTGAGTGCCCTTCCGAGCCTGCCTTAACTCCAAGCCCAGTTTTTCCCGCTTCACTCATATCCCCTCCCATTTGTATTCGTGCCTCTGCCCTCCACTCGCACTCAACCCATCCTCTCCACTCCTCTTCCTGCTCCTCTCCCCCTCCCCCTGGCAGGGCTACGCCATAGGAGCAGCGTCAGACGGCACGCAGACGTGCGTGGGAGTGGCGGGCGCCCCAGCCTCGTTCCTCGCCTACCCCACCGTGCCGGGCGACTCCTGCTCCTCCGTTGCTGCCGCCTTCAGCCTCACCACTGCCGGTCTCACCGCTCTCAACCCCTTCCTAAACTGCTCCCTCGCCTACCTCCCCCCAACGCTCATCCTCACCGTCGCAAACGCCTCCTCCACCTCCATATCCCCCTCTGCACCGCTCTGCACCGCAACGTACACCGTGCAACCCAACGACACCTGCACGACCCTCGCCAACACCTTCTTCGCGGGGAGCCTGTCAGCGCTGCGTGCTGCCAACCCGCTCTCATGCACCTCCTCACGCTTCTTCCTCTACCCGGCTCAGGTGACTTGACACTTTTGAGGCTTCTCAAGTGGCGTGAGCACCATGAGCCACGGGCACTCACGCTCTCTCACCGCTGTTGAGCATGTTTTTCCTAATCTCTCGTGTTTGTTGTTTGGTTTGAAACCTGCTGACGTGCACCATGGCCCGTGCGTCTCTCTCCACCCCTCGCAGGTCATCTGCACGACCACCAGCTCGCTCTCCTCACTGGCAGCCGTGGCTGTCCCGCAGTGCGGGCAGACGTACATCACAGTGGCGGGCGACACGTGCTCCTCAGTGGCGACCAAGTTCGCCATCAGCCTGGGCGCCTTCATGGGGCTCAACAGCGCACTCTCATGTGCCACTGCCCTCCCCGTGGGGTCGTACGTGTGTGTCGCCCCCAAGAGCTCCCAGGTGCGTTGCGGGAAGACTTTGGGCGTCTTTGAGCTTGCGCTTGTGGGTTCATCCGTTCCCGTTGTCCTTATTCTCTTGCGCCGGCCATGCTTTACTGGAGTTTCTTTTACAAATGCTTGGAATTTTTTGCCTGTTTCTTGTCTCTTGCCCTGCAAGCCCTGGTGGAGGCGCACCAAGTGGCACACATGGTGTTGCAGGGCTGCTGTCTCAGCTCACTCTCTTTCTGCTCTCTCTCGCCTTCTTTCCCTCCTGCCCACAGACGGCAGTGAACTGCACGGCATGGTACGCGGTGCTGCAGGGAGACAACTGCCCCAACATCTGGAACGCCGCCAACCTCACCGAGTCCACCTTCCTCGCCATCAACCCCGGCATCCGGGTAAGGCGGTTGAGAGCTAGTAGTTTTGGCTGACGATTCATCAACCCCGGGCAACACAAGTCGTTTCACCTCTCCCATATTCTCTTCCCTTTTCCCCCCAAAGCCGCACTGTTGCTTCAACCAACATCCTTCTTGCATGTTCGTCCGCTCATCATTCACTCTCCCCCACGCCCCACACCCCATCCCGATTGCAGTGCCAAGCGCCCTACCTCCAAGTGGGCCAGAAGGTCTGCATCAACTCCCCGCTCCTCGCATCGCTCCTCTCCGCATCCAGCACCTCGTACTCGCTCTACACCGTGCAGCCCAATGACTCCCTCGCCCTCATCTCCTCCAGGTTCATCACTCGCTGCACCACCTCCTCCGTTTCCCCCGCCTCCATCGCCGCAGCAAACAATATCTTGGAAACCTCCCCTCTGGTAGCCAACACCCAGCTCATCATCCCGTGCGACGCGCGCGTGGGGATTCTCGACTGCGGCTGTGCGCAGTCCCTCCCGGTCTGCGGTGCGGACTACGTCACGTACCCGTCCTACTGCGATGCGCTCTGTAACTACGCGCTACCGGTCATTCAGGACGGCGTCTGCTCCGGCTGCAACGCCGCCTGCACCGGCCGCACCGGCCTCGCCCCCGCCGCGGGGTATGGCTGTACCTGGAGCACGTGTCCCTACCCCAACTGGAAGCCGCTGGACAGCGACTGCACCGTGCTGCAGGGCGACTTGCCGGGGAAATGCTGTGCGGTGGAGCAGACTGTCTGTGAGAACGTGTGCCGCGCAACAAGGGACACGCTGGGCGGCACGACGACGCAGATGCAGGCGAACTACGACTCGTGCTACAGCCAGTGCATGTGCTGCTCCAGAGTGCCGTGCGGCACGAGCACGTGCCTGGCGCCGTCCAGCTGCTGGAGCCAGAGCCCCCGCAAGTGCACGTACAGCTCGTACAAGTACTGGTGGAACTGCACCTGGTTCCCACCAAGTAACCCGCTTGCTTAGCAGCATCGCCACTCAGCTCGCTTGCATAACTCTGCTTATTCCGTATCCACTTTTGAGAATTCTTGAAAGTGGATTGGCAGGCACCTGGTGTTTGCACCTCCCGCTGTAGGCTGGTGGTCAGATGGGGTATTGCTCAGTACCTGGCACTTGCTCCATGATTGGGGGAATAATGTACAGTCGGTTGCTCTCTTGTACTCGCCATTGTTATACGCTCTGTTGCATATTCTTTTATTCGTTTGGTTCACTTGGTGAGCATTTACAAGGCTGTTGTCACTAATGCATCAATATACGGTACCCTTGTCTCCAGTAAAATGGCCAGAACCCCTTGTAGCGCACATACCGTATTATTTCTTTATCGGCACGAAAACCCTCGAGAGATGTGGTAGTGGCAGCCGCTTCAAGCACGATCCACGAGTGCTTCTACCACAGCATTCTTAGGGCGCTTCACCTCTCAGTTCGAACAGGACGGTTGTTCGAACAGGCGAAATGTTACAGTTTTCGCCACTCCTCGTATGGGTGTTCGTGACGTCGCTAGTCGGAAATTTCGCGAATTTGAACAGAGTTGTCACACGGGGCACGAAGGTCTCCATTCCGCACGTTCGAACAGAGTTGTTCGAACAAAGTTGGGTTTGGTGACAGGAATTCCGCATGGACGACTGATTTTATTGGTTAGCAGGCTTCGGGTCGCACTCGAATGTTTGCGACCATTGCAAATGTCGCCATGCAGGAGAAAGTTCATCAAAAAGGACATTGTTGTTGGGAAACAACAAGGTGAGCAGTAGTAGAAGAGCACGAAGAGACTGTTTGACTGGATGGGCGAAAAATAAGTCAAACTTGAATGGCAGACGACAGAATTATTTTTTTGCGACGTTTCGCGAAGTCGTCCAGCACTTGGCGACGTCGCATGTTCGAACAGGCTGTCACCTCTAGTCACGAGCTGTCACATTCACCAAGGTGTTCAAATTTGTGTTCGGATCTCGTCGGGAAACTGTTCGTACAGTGAATTCGTTACGTATGTTCGGATTTGGGCCTTCCAGCCCCGAGGTGATGCGCCCTTAGTCACATCGTCCGTACGCATTAATATTAGGAACCCAGAACGTCCAATTAGACGGAGTCCGTTTGCCGCACCAAGCATTTCAATTACTCCATAATCGCTATCTGCGCTTCGAGCCCTCCCCGTATCTTTCGCTCGCTGTTCGCATGGCGATATCTGCGTCAGCATTTCGCGCGATTCACACCGCTGCGCCCCTTCTACCCCCAAGCAACGTCTTCTCCCAACCCACCACGCTACAAGGCCTTACGCGCACATATCGGCAGTTCCCCCTCACAAACACCCGACCTTCCACTGGTTTCGGCGCGCGCACACAGCATGGCGCACGGGGTCCACGCGCAAGCTTCACGCAAGCCGTGGAGTCAGTGCGCGCAACGGGGCCGAGCGCGGGGGTTGCGGCGCGCACGGAGTGGGAGCTAAACGTTCGGCGGCGAGCGCCGCTGGCGGAGCGATACGGCGTGCGCGTGGAGAGGGACGTTTCCGCCGACAGAATCGAGGTAGCGCGCACGTCCCCGCAGGCGTGCGGTAGCGAGTAAATGGGTTTTAGGAGGATGCTTCAAAACGGAGAGGAAGAGGCTTCGTAGGCGCCTCGAGTCTAGATTGCGCACCTGCTGGGCACTCGATATGCGGGTGGGAGGAGGGCGGGTGGTCGCGCGCGCGGGGCGACGATTGCAAGGCCGCGCAATCAGTCCGTTGTCTCCGCCACTGCCGCTCCCATCCTTGCCTCGCCCCTGCCGCTCCCACCCATGCCTTGCCGCTGCCATTCCCATGGAACACCACCACACCATACCACCCATCGCCTCCTACCACACCCACCAGCCATGATGGCCCCCGTATCGTGCTTCCACCAACAATCCTGCAGTGCAGGGGCATAGGGTGGGGTCACCGTGACCCTATGGTTCCCGCACCGCACTCAACCATACCCCTCACGCCTCACCCTTTTAAGTCGACTCAAAAGCCATCCATGGCCCTGATAGAGAGATTTCATTAAAGCCCAGTGATTTCCCTAAACCACGCCGCTCAGCGGGTATGGGTACAGGGTTCGGGGTTTAACCTCCCACACCGGTCCTCGCCTGGCTTGCTTGCTGTTTTCAGGCGCTGCGGGCGGAGGGGTAGATGTAACCACCACGTATGACCCATGCCTGCTGACCCATGCCTGCTGTTTGGAGGAGGTTGGGCGGAGAGGTGGTGACATTGATGTGACTAGCCGGGCCGTGTGACTGGCACATGTGGCCGATATTGCAATTGTGCCTTACTCACTCTCCCCGGCATTAAATCAAACCCGTGCCATTGATTCTCATCCTTGATTCTCATCCTTGATTCTCATCCTTGATTCTCATCCTTGATTCTCATCCTTGATTCTCATCCTTGATTCTCATCCTTGATTCTCATCCTTGATTCTCATCCTTGATTCTCATCCTTGATTCTCATCCTTGATTCTCATCCTTGATTCTCATCCTTGATTCTCATCCTTGATTCTCATCCTTGATTCTCATCCTTGATTCTCATCCTTGATTCTCATCCTTGATTCTCATCCTTGATTCTCATCCTTGATTCTCATCCTTGATTCTCATCCTTGATTCTCATCCTTGATTCTCATCCTTGATTCTCATCCTTGATTCTGAACCATGCCTGCTGCTTCCAGGAGCTTGGGGCGGAGAGGTGGCAGCGGTGGTGGACGCCCGGGCCATGTGCCTACCGGTGGGACTGGCGGGTAGAGGAGCAGGTGCTGGTGACACGTGGCACTCTCAGAGTCACTCCTGATGTGAGTCACCGTGATTGTGACACGTGGCACTATTGAAGGCACATTCACTGGAGTGTGAGTCATGATGTGACATGTAGCACGCTGGAAGCCACCCCTTGGTTTTCCTGTGTCTTTATGCTGTATGCGCTGCAATGTGATGCATCCTCTATCCACAGGTCTTGCCCCTTACCAGCTCCACTGAATGCTCTTGACTGCATCCATGACACGAGTGTGACGAGAGTCTAAAAGTTCATCTTCCAACAAACTTTCATCCCTCTTTCTCTCTTCCTGCACTGCCATCCACCCATGCATCGGTCCATGGCAGGAGTGTGAGGAGAGCATGGAGTTTGCAGCGGGTGACTTGGTATGCTTCCCACGGTGGTTCTTTGCTGAGCTCGAGTTCAGTGCCGACTATGAGCAACGGTACAGATTTGTGGCGTATGGGGACAACTGCTAATGGATTTAAATACGTGGAATACTTGCTGCAGAGCAGCGCGCCCAATTCAAGGGTTACAAGAGATGATTTATCTGTTATTACACTTAGGAGGAGCCATAAAGACAGCAAGCGATTTTTCACCCTGAAATATGTGGTTGTACGGTGAACATGTACCTCAAATCATATGGGGGAGATTGGAAGAGGGACTTGGGGAAGTTTTTGTGAGGACTTACAACTCTCTATTCTGTCAAAAACATCTGCTTACGGCACCAGGCATGTTCAGACCCACTGAACGACAGCGCGTCTCATTGTAAGATGACGAATCTGAAAACAGACGGGAGCTTCCTCGCTTGGCGGAGTGGGAGTGACCCGCGCTACGCGGGACAGACGCGTCTTGTCGTCGTGATCGAACCGCCCGGTTTCTCACTTGGCCCCACATTTGTGGAGTCAACGATCCCCCAGGGGCACCGCTCGCCTACAGCCATCGTTTCATTGGCTTGGCAGGCACCGGCCGTCAACTCCCGTCCGTCTGTTCTTCCCAGTCGCACGGGAACAACTGCAGCCCACCAAGCAGAGAACTGGGAACAACACCAATAGCTGCCTAGCCAAACCACTTTCCCCCTAGCCGCGATGACATAACTACAAATCGTGCCCGCATGGCAAGGCTTTCTCCAGATTACATGCTCACACAAGTTCCCTACAGAGTCCCCTACATTACAAGGCTCTATATAGCGACCTTTCATCAACTTCCGGAGTATTTCTAGCATCGCTCCTCATATCTGCCATCTCGCTGATCAACTGGACAGCTCTAGCTGTGGGAAGTCAACGTTGCCTGTTTGAATCTCACAGCATCTCCCAACAACGCGACGCCTCGTGCACTCCATAGCCACGCAGATCCTATTATTTGCTAACTGCAGCACCGAAGCTTTCATGGCAATTTCGCGCTCACACACGTTTCTCATCGCGGCGCTGCTGCTGCTCGCCGCTTGCCGCGCGGACGCAGCGCCGACGGTGGCGCAATTCCGGGCGGAACTCAACGCGCTGAAGGCGGTGTTGGCCAAGACGAAGGAATACTCGGCGTTCGGGAAAGGCGTCGATAAAATGCGTGAGTACTGCTCCCTTCGATTTTCTACTGCGAGTCGTCGCTTCTCTAATAAGCAGAACCTTTCTCCCACGCTCTCATTCTGAGCGCATATCGGTCGTTCGGTTAGGGTTTCTTTTGAGTGATGAACCGAGGAACACAAACATAGCCCAAGTGCAGATACTGACCACAAAGCAGACACGTCCCGCGTTCACACCGCCTCGCCAGCTCTCGCCTATCCACTCATTCTCTCCTCTCCCTTCTCTCCTCCTCAACCCATCCCTTCCTCTCCCCTTTAGACAGTGAAGTACCCCGACGCGCAGCTGCCGCAGCTGTTCAACACGACGCTGCTGGTGCCGACGAACAAGGCGGTGTACGGCGTGGGGATCAAGACGCTGCAGAACACGACGGCCATGGAGGCCATCGGCAAGTTCAACGTGCTGCAGCGCCAGTTCACCGCCGCGCAGCTGCGAAACCTCAAGCCCAACACGCTGCTGCGCACCAAGGCGCCACCCACCGACCTGCTGCAGCGCTACCCCTCCGTGGGCGCCAATGCGGGCAAGGTGGTGCTGGGCCCGCGCAACGTGACTGCTGCCGTGCAGGGGGTGGTGCTCTTTCCTGATCTTTACTCGGGCAAGTTCCTCAAGGCGCATGGCCTCTCCGTGTTCTTCCGCCCCAAGGGCTACTGACTGCATCTCCCTAAGAGCTACTGACAGCGCCGCCCCTGCCACGTGAGGTTGAAGGATAGTGTACCTAGTAGAGTACCCTGCAGCTGACTCAGTTAGGTTAGATTCATGCAGCCTGGTGTCAGAGCCTTGTGTCAGGAGGGTTTGGTTTGGAAGTCCTCCCTTGGCCACACTGGTACCGCATGAGGCCAGTGGCAAGGCTGGACCGTCATCCTGACACAATGCTCTGACACTAGGGTTAGTTAGGCCCTCTGTACATGCATGCCATTTTGACAAGTTGAACGAGTCTGCAAAGTTATTCCAAAGGAAGTGCTGGCTTTTCTTACCCTTAGTCAAGTGGGAATGCCTGGCTTTGAGGGAATGCACACAATTACGGTAGAATGCTCTGGTAACACTGCCACTAAAAGCCTTGTGGTACCCATTACAGCCCACAGGTGACGCTCTCCCATTCCATTCCAGCACTGTGCACCAGTGGTACCGACCTGAAGAACATATCTTCCCAGTAGATAGATTTTGTTACATTATACAGTACAGAATAATGAATGCGTTCATGTGCTGCACGATGTGACAGCTTCAGGAAAGGACGTGCATGCATAATGATGGCACGGGCCGGCATCATGGCACATGGCAGGGTCACAGGCCAGGCGGTTGCAGGGAGGGCGGGGGCAACGTGGAGAGGTTGAGAGGCAGCGAGATACCGTATCGCCCCGGATATAGGCGCCGTCCGATTATAGGCGCTGGCGCCTCTATCTGGAGCATGGCGCTTATGGCCGGACCTCGATTAGAAGCGCCCCCCCTGAGATTTGTGTACTTATTATAAGCGCCACCATTCGACTACTTAGTTAGTTTTACATTGAAATCACATTCATAACAATATCATGACAGCAGCTACAACATCAGAGACCTGAAACAGCAGGTCTAGCAACACTAATTCTAGCTAACTAGTTAGTCTTCGTCAGATTCGGGCTCCTGGCAGTTGTTGCCAAAAAACCCATCAGCAATGATGTCATCGTCGACGTCCACTTCCGCCGTCAGCTGGCTCCGCCTGTGCGCCATGGCGAGGCCGTCCTCACTGCCGTCGAGCGCGTTGCTGATGCCACAGGTGAGGAAGGCACGCTTTATTAGCTCGGCAGGCACTGACTTCCAGGCCTGAGATATCCACCTCAGGACGACCTCCGGAGGAGGCTTCTTCAAGTTCCCTGAAAATAACGGGAGAACGATGGAATCCCGTTAATCCTAAAAAACATACGGTAAGCAAAAGGAAGGGGGGTTGAAACACAACAACGCGCTCATTCCATACCTGCTGTCGTCAGCTGCTCTTGCCCTTCTGCCTCAAACCACCGCTGGTACTGCTGGCGGACCGACGCTTTGAAGCTCTTGTTGATGGAGACATCCAGGGGCTGAACCTCCGCCGTACAGCCCGACGGGATGATTGCCGGCACGCAGTTCATCTCGCGAAGCTTGTCCTTCACTTCCTGGGTGAGGTGACCGCGGTAAGAGTCGAGCACCAGCATCGAGCTCTTGGCGCATCTACCGAACCTGGGCTTCAAGAAGGGCTTGACGCCCTCCTCAAGCCAGCGGACGACACCCGCGGAGTCCATCCACCCGTTCTCGTGTGCAGCCACGACCACATCTGCAGGAAACAAGAGAAGCAGTTAGAATTCGCAGTCCGTGGTAAACCGCAGTTAACGAGCAGTGCACCAATTGACGTACCGGGTGGGAAATTGCCCTTTGGCACGGTCTTGCGCTTGAAGTACACCCACGGCTTCAGCTTCCGTCCGTCTGCCGTACACGCCAACATCACCGTCACACGCTGCTTCTGATACCCCGCGCTCCTGATAGGCACCGAGCGAACACCCGATTCATCCACGGTGGTGGTGGCGGGCATCTCCAGCCAGAGCGGCGTCTGGTCCGCGTTGATGATCCACGCGGTGTCGATGCCGCGCTCACGACGCATGCCACGCACGAACTTCCAGAAGCTTCTGCACTGCTCCGCGACATCTGAAGGGAGGTGGAAGGCAGGACGGTCACAGATGGCGGGTGTTAGTACCGGTAAAACAAGTAAACATTAACAAATTACATAGGGTAACTCTTACGCGACTGGGTTTTCTGGGCAACCCGGGTCTTCATGCGGACACTCAGGTTCCATCGTCGCCGAAAGCGCTCCGACCACCTCTGGCTCCCTTTCCAGGGCTTGTCCGGGTACAGCAGCTTCATGTATTCCCGCGACCACTCCTGCAGGCGGCCGACTGATACGGCGGTTCCCTTGCGGCGCCACTCGAGAAGCTTCTCGTACACTTTCAACTCCATAGGCCGATACCACGATGCCCGACCGCGGCCGTGCATGCGTTTCCGAGCGGAGTGCACGTCTTTGAGGAACTCCGCCGCCCGCTTCCAGTTTGTGAGGCACTTGGGGTGGATTCCGCTCTCGCGAGCCAAAGCGCGCACCGACGTTGCCACAGCAAGCCTGGCAACCCACTTCAACTTCTCCGCGGCGGTGTAACCTTGCCTCTTGTGCTCAGTGAGCTTGTGCCTGGGAGAGGGGGGGCGGGCATCACGGTTCTGGGAAGAGGGGTGGGGTCGCTTGCGATTCATCGGGGGATAGGAAGGTATCGGCAGGGACTCGGGAAGCCCGTCGCGTGACCAGTACTCCACGCCGTCATCGGCATCGTCGCCGGGAACGCCTTCGGGAAAAACATCTTCAGCGGAGCCGCCCTCGGCGCCGCCCCCGACGTTCGCTTCCGTGCCATACTCGCCGCCGACAGTGCCGCTCGCTTCCTCTTCGTCAGCGTCAGCTTCGGCTTCAACATCATCGTCGGCGCCGACTTGCGATTCGTCCCACGGGCAGTCGTCTGGCTGTCCCCACCGTGAACCAGGAACGTGCTCCACTTCCACCCACTCATCTTGCGGCTTATTAGACTCGGGTTCGGAGAGGTACTCGTCAAACGACGATGGGAGCAGCAGCGTCAGCACGGGCGTTGATCCAGCGTGTAGCGGAAGCGCAGCACTATGCGAGCACGGAGGAGTCGGAGGAACAGGAGGCTCAGGAGGTGCAGGAGGCGAAGGAGGAGCAGGAGGCGCAGGAGGCGCAGGAGGCTGTGGTGGCTTAGGTGGAGATGGTGGGACGCGGGAGTACCACCCGTCTTCGTCTACTCTAAACGCGGGCCTCCGTGGAGGCTTCTTCTTGAACAAGAAGTGAACCCCGGTGAAATCCGCCATAGCTTCCGCAGCATGGCGGGAGAGATCAAGAACAAGAACGAAAAACTGAAACAAAGAATGAACAAATGAAGGATTCAAAGGGACCCCTTCTGGCTAGCGCCACGGGGTCCTCGTCGAGGAGAGACGGGTGTCCCCTGTCTGAACCCGGAGAGGAGGGTGTAGCGCCACGCACGATGCTGCGCTGGCAGGGCATGATGGCCGCTTCTAGATGGTTCGGGTGAGGATTCTGCTGCCACCCAGCACACGAAAGCCTGATTGGGCCGCTAGGCAAGTTTCGCATCAGCGCTGGCAGGTGAGCTGCTCCTGGACGGGCTTTGTGCGGTTGGAAACCGAAGCGCGTCGGTTTTCGGCGTGTTTCCATGCATGATGCCATGCGCACGTTACACAGTCTTGTTCGCCTTAATACGGGCTTCGATTTGAGGCCTAAATTATGCAAATTCATTTTTACCATTATATAAGCGCCGGCGCTTATGGCCATTATTCAATTACAAGCGCCACCCTTAAAAAAATCGATTTTATTATAAGCGCCATGGCGCTTATATCCGGGGCGATACGGTAACAGCGCTCTGGGCGGGGTTCATGCGGCTCCTCTGCTCCCATGTGTATTTGAGTCGACTCAAATTGGCACATAGTGGAGTGGTCACAGGCCAGGCGGTTGCAGGGAGGGCGGGAGCAACGTGGAGAGGTTGAGAGGCAGCGAGATGATGGCGCTCTGGGCGGGGTTCATGCGGCTCCTCTGCTCCCATGCTTCCCACCACGGCCCTCCTCCCACCTCCACCGCTGCTGCTGTGCTCTCCGCCCTCAGGAGCAACTGGAGGGAGGAGGGGGAGTGTGGGATGGCATAGGGGGATTCTATCAACATACAATGGAGAATCCACCGCCTATCAGTCCAGGGGTTTCTGCCTTGCTCTATGTCTCTAGGAACAAGTGGTGGGAGTGGGGGAGGGGGGGTAATGGCCTGCGGGACGTGCAGCAAGGGAAACATTGTACAAATGGAGAAAAGCTATTTGTTTCAAGGACCACCACCCCTGCTGAAGTGTTTTGTGCTATTGAAAGTAACTGGTGGGAGCATGAAGGGACACTATGGCATGGGGAATTCTTAAGAAGGTAAAATTAACACTTTGAAGGTGCTGCCTTGCTGCTGTCCGTGGCGCCAGTAGAAGCTGGTGGGAGTGGGTGGGAGGCGGTTAGATGAAACGATTGAGAGATGTGCAGAAGAGTGATAGTTTTGTGAATTGTACTGTACTCTTTCAAGGCGCTCAATGCTCTCTGCCTGCTACTCTTTCTTAGACGCCTCAAAAACAAAGTGACAGTTATTCGGCCCACTGCTGCCTTAGTTTCCAGACGTCTCAAAGTCAGCACGACAGTTATTTTGCCCCCTGCTGTCTCAGAGTGGAAACGTACTCGTCCAAAGGGTACAGTTCCCTCTGCTGCTGCGCTACACCTACCCGTGGCCGTAAAATACACGGGCATTGAGAGGTGGGGTAGCAAGGGAGAAGAAAAGAAGACGCGAGTGATCCAGATGGGGAAATACCATACCAGCTGCAAGCACGGACGCATCTCTCCATGCATAGATAAAGCCTCACATGCCCCACCTGCCCCGGGTACCCACCTTCCCTGCCTCACATGCCCCACCTGCCCCGAGTACCCACCTGCCCCGAGTATCGCTGGCGCAGCTCCAGCTTGACCCGGCCGTCAAACGAGTCCTTGCAGAAGAACCTCATTCCCTCCGCTGTTGGCGCTCGCAGAGGCGTGCCGTTATCGCCCGGGAGTGTGTGCGCCTCCACTGTCACCTGAGAGGGGGAAAGGAGCGAACAGGGGGTATAAGGGCAGGTGGGGGGCGTGTGAAGCTGCCCGTCAAACAAGTCCTTGCAGGCGATTCTCATGGCCTCTTGCGGCGCCGCATAAGTCCTCGCAGAACAATCTCATGCCCTCCGCGGACGGTGTTGCTTCTGAGAATTCTCAAGAACCGCATGCCCTCAACTGTCGGTGCTCCCAGGGGTATGCGGCTGCTGCCTGGTAGTGTAGTGTGGAGTGTGCGCCTCCACTGGTACCTGGTAGAGAGGAGGGAGTCAACAGGGGGATAATGACAAAAACGTTTGGGGGGCATGTGAAGTTGCACTGTTGCGCAGCAGGGTGTGAAGTAGCAGCGTGAAGTAGCAGCGTGAAGTAGCAGCGTGCCCACTGCCCTGGTCGCGCAGCAGTGTGTGTGTTTGCATAGTTTCTTCGGAAGATGGTGGGGAAAGCGATGAGGTGATGACACAAGTCACCACTGCCCGCTGTTTGCAGTGCGGGGCGTGCAGTGGGGGGCGTGCAGTGGGGGGCGTGCAGTGGGGGGCGTGCAGTGGGGGGCGTGCAGTGGGGGGCGCACAGGGAGGGGCATTGAAAATGAAAGTGAAAGAAACAACTAACTCACTCCTAAATCTCACCTCATTCCACTCCTCCTCACCTCTCACTGCTCGTCCCACCTCGTACCACTCTCCCTCGCCTCACACCACTCCTCACCTCCCCCACTGCCCTTTCTCACCTCACACTACTCCTCCTCACCTCACACCATTTCTCTCCATCTAATACTGCTCGTTCTCACCCCACAAAATTATCCTCACTGCACACTCCTCCTCACCTCGTACTGCTCGTTCTGAGCGTGCATGTGCCAGCTGCCCCACGGCTGCACCTTCCACTCCACGGCGCCCCTGTTGGGCACAAACTCGATGAACTGCCCCTGCCAGTGCAGCCCCACCTGTATGCAAACAGAACCACAGAGGAGGCGGGTATGTGGGGATTCTAAGAGGGCCTCAAGGAAGGGAGGAGTATGGGAGTGACTGGCACTCCACCACCCCTCTGTTGGGTGCAAACTCGATCAACTGCCCCAGCCAGTGCACCCCCACCTGCATGCACAGCATCCAGAGTAGCGGAGAAAGGGACCTTCCAGGGGGACTTAGAGAAAGGGAGGGATTCGTGGGACGGGTCATTCCACCACGCCCCTGTTGGACACAGACTCGATGAACTGTCCCTGCCAGTGCAGGCCTACCTGCCATGGCAACAAAGGAAAGAGAAGGGTGGGCAAGAACTTTTGAGGTGCCTCGAAGAATGGGAAAGGTTAAGGTGGGGAGGAGGGGGGCACTCCACCAGACCCCTGTTGGGCAGAAACTCTATCAACTGCCCCTGCCAGTGCACCCCCACTTGCCACGCACAGCATGGAGGGAGGGGGGCGAATAGTGGGACCTTTAAGGGGGGCGAATAGTGGGACCTTTTAGGGTGGCTCAAGGAAGGAGGTATGAGAGAGACGGGCCACTCTACTGCGTTTATGAGCCCACCTCTGGCAGGGGAAAGAAAGATAATAAATGGCAAGAGGTGGGTTCTTTCGAATACCACGACACGGCTAAAGCGTCATAAGTTTCACGCGTGGTTTTCGGGGTTGGAATCTCTGAACCCTGCAAGTTCCTCACTTCTGCACAATTCCCCACGGCATGCCAGATAACGAAGAAACACGAAGGCATGAAGTGGGGGGAGGTGGTGGCCATCCTGTCAAACGATTCGGAAGAAGATATTAAACCCTTCCCACACGACTTTCCCCCTAGCACAAGCCTTCCTCCCCTCCTCTGACCTCTCCCCGCCGTGCATGGCAGCGGCGGCGCTGGCAGCCATGGCACGGGCTGTGGACGCAGGCAACATGCACCATAGCAGGGCTGCCATACCCATACATCCTAAGCTCACTGCCATGCTCTTCTGCAGTCATCAGCCCTTCTTCCTCTCGCCTCTCCTCGGCACTTTCCTAAATACGACAATCAGCCATTTAATTTCTTATTCCGAATCGTTTGACAGAATAGCCACCACCTCCGCCCACTTCATGCCTTCGGATTTCTTCGTTATCTGGGATGCTGCGACGAGTTGTGCAGGAATGAAGAACTTGCAGGGTTAAGGAACTCCAACCCCGAAAACCACGCGTGAAACTTCTGACGCCTTGCCAGCTGTGTCGTAGTTTCGAAAGAACTCACCTCTTACCGTTTATTAACTGCCCCTGCCAGTGCAATCCCACCTGCCATGCACAGTATGGAGGGGGGTGACTAGAAAGGGAGGTATAAGGGGGACGCGCCACTCCACAGCGCCTCTGTTGGGCACAAACCCTATGGATTGCTGTGCTGTGCACGCCCACCTGCCATGCACAGCACACACAAGAGTAGAGGAGAATGTGGAGGGTTTAGGAGGGAGGGCCACTAGGTCACGCCATTACGATTAAGTGGAAAGAGCGTCAAGAGAAACGATTCCACCATTCCCACCTTCGTCTCACCAAGCCCTCTCTATCTCACCATGCCCCACCCCACCATGCCTCACCATGCCCACTTCCTCTACGGAGTTGGCCAGCAGAGGCAGGTTGACCTGCCGCTTTGCCCCCGCCACTGTGAGCGCCCTTTTGAGGCACCTCAACCATATACCCCTGCCTCTCTCTCAGCATACTCCCGCGTCTCACCATGCCCACTTCCTCAACGGAGTTGGCGAGCAGGGGCAGGTTGAGCTGCCGCTTCGCCCCCGCCACTGTGAGCGCCACTGCGGACCCCAGTGACACATGCGACCACACATTGCACTGGATCTGGTGGGAGAGGGTGTAAGGGGGAGGGAAAGAGCGTGCAATGTGGGGAGAAAGAGGACCAAAGAGAGCCACTGCGGACCCCAGTGGCACGTGCGACCACACATTGCACTGGATCAGGTGGGGAGAGAGGGGGCTAAGGAGGCGGGAATCGGAGAGAGAATAGGGAAGGGAAGAAGAGGTGGGAAGCAGTGGATGGCACGGATAGCTTGCGGAACTGTGATGTGAACGATGCATCAAACTGCCCACAGTGAAGCATGCATCAAACTGCCCACAGTGAAGCATGCATCAAACTGCCCACAGTGAAGCATGCATCAAACTGCCCACAGTGAAGCATGCATCAAACTGCCCACAGTGAAGCATGCATCAAACTGCCCACAGTGAAGCATGCATCAAACTGCCCACAGTGAAGCATGCATCAAACCGCCCACAGTGAAGCATGCATCAAACTGCCCACAGTGAAGCATGCATCAAACTGCCCACAGTGAAGCATGCATCAAACCGCCCACAGTGAAGCATGCATCAAACCGCCCACAGTGAAGCATGCATCAAACCGCCCACAGTGAAGCCCCACGTACCAGAGAAGCTCAGGTGCCTCAGCCTCTATGCCTACAGAACAGACTTCAAACCCGCAAGCCAAATTGTTTGAGGTTAGGGCGAGAGACATTCCCAAAACGCAAATCCGAAAGCTCCCCTTGAATGAAAGTGTATCGCACCCAGAACCACTTGAGGGGGAAGGCGCCGCCCCAGTTCTTCTCAGAGTAGGTGACGGCGTCTGTGAACTCAATGCGGTGCCCCTGCCACTCCACCCACCCACTCGCTCGCCCCATCGCCATGCACACCTGCACGGGGGGAGGGGGGGGTGCATGGCAGGGGTATGAATGATGGGTGGAGAGGGGTGCAGGGGGGTATGAGGAGGTGATGGCCTCGCACCAGTTCTTCTCAGAGTAGGAGATGGCGTCTGCTTTTGAGGCGCCACAAAAGTAGGCGTCTGTGAAGTCCATGCAGTGCCCCTGCAGGGAAGTCGACTCAAAAGTGTCTGAATTCTATGCGGTGCCCCTGCCACTCCGCCCGCCCACTCGCTCGCCCCATCGCCATGCACACCTGGGTGAGGGAGTTGGGGGGGGATGTACGACGGGAGGTACGATGAGTGGGGAGGGGTGCAGGGGGTTATGAGGAGGCGAAAGGGTGATGGCAAGGTAGCAAATCAGCTGCCACATCAGCTGCATCCACAAATGCAGTCTCTTCAGTCAATTGTGAAAAACAACCCGTGAGACTTCCTGAGCCTACTTCCCTCCCACCTCACATCTCAGACTGTCGCCACGTCACCCTCACCTGCCAGTGCGGTTCAAAAGCTGGCAGGGCAGAGAGCCAACCAGCAGTTGACAGCTGTGTGCCGCCCCTGGGGCCCCAGCCATCGATGGGCGTCACCTCATAGCGCCATCGCACTATGCTGCTCGGGAGAAGAGTGGGAAGATAGAACAGAAAGTTGGCAATGGAGTTTTGAGTATGGCATAGCGTGATGTAGCCAAGCAGGAGGGAAGGGATGATGCCCTGAGAGGCCAGTGGGATTGTGGGGAGGGAGGGAGGGAGGGAGGGAGGGAGGGAGGGAGGGAGGGAGGGAGGGAGGGAGGGAGGGAGGGAGGGAGGGAGGGAGGGAGGGAAGGAGGGAGGGAGGGAGGGAGGGAGGGAAGGAGGGAGGAAGGGAGGGAAAAAAGGGAGGGAGGGAGGGAGGGAGCAATGATGCCCAGAACTCGTGTGCAGGCAAGGCAAGCAGGGGGCAGGTGAGCAGAGAGCAAGCTTGTTCTACCACCTGAATGGCGTGAGAGCACTCAACCATTACCAGGCGCAGCAGCAGCACCAATGCACCATCACCACCGCCATCACTATCACCATCACCATCACCATCACCAACACCATCACCATCACCAACACCATCACCATCAGCATCACCAACACCATCACCATCACCAACACCATCAGCATCACCAACACCATCACCATCACCATCACCATCACCATCACCATCAGCATCACCAACACCATCACCATCACCAACACCATCAGCCTCACCTGCCATCATCTTGGTTCTTGAGCGTGCCTTGGTGCAGGAACGGCGTCACCTGAAATCCATACTGCACCCTTGCCTCAAACTCCTGTTGTTCACAAGATACATGTGAAGAAAAGGCATGCATGATTTACCATAGCAGCAGCGAAAGCAGCCCTCACGCGCCTACAGCAAGCTCAATAACCACCATCCACACAGCAGCACACAACACCACCCATATCTTCTGAGGCGCCAGAACATACATAACCGAATCACTGACACTCCCACCCACATGTGCGTTCGCTCCCAAGGCCAAACCCAGTGGATGCCCCAACCCAGTCAACCACGCTCGCCCAGCTCTGACCAGATCCACATATCCAATACTCACTCTCACTCCCTGCTTTGACTTTCCCTCTCGTCCGTGCCCATCCCCTCCTCCCCCTCCCCAGCCCACTCCAAGTGCCAACTGCAGTGTAAGCAGTGTGTGTGTGCCTCTCTCTGACTTCTAGTGTGTGCTGCGAATGGGAAACAATTTTGACAATTCTCAAAAGCGAATGTGGTACCAATGTGGTCTTAACTGACATATTGACGTAAAGCACAGTTGTGCCATATGGATGTGGTGAAAACATGTGATATAAGTATGTGGTTTAGGCAGAGAGGGGAAGGTAATACATGAACATAGCACGGGAGAAGAGGGAGGGATGGAAAGTACAGGAAATATGTTCTGTGACAGCTGTCAAAAACCCCTCTTCTGTGGCATCCCCTGTCTTGCCCTCTCCTTCCCGTACTTTCTATCCCTCCCTTCTTCTCCCGTGCTATGTTTCTGTATTACCTTCCCTTCATGTATTACATATGGATTTGTTACAAGGGTTTCGTATACATATGTGGTATAGCTGTGCTATGAGTGTATGTGACACGAACATGAGTTATTAAGACGTGCTTTATAATATGCAACAGGGTATACATATGTGGCATCAATGGGTGGCATGCAAATGGGCGTACACGCGTGGCATACACAATATACATGAATCTGGAAATCATCACCACCCACCCACCTGAGGCGGCACCTCCCCCAGGGGCGACACGTGCCCCTCCCTGGGCTGGAAACACGCTCCCAACGCCAACTCATGCCGCACTGCAGGGTGTTGGGGAGAGGGGGGAAGGGGGGTTTGCGCGAGGGGGAGACGGAGCAAGGGGAAAGGGAATGGACCGGGAAGAAGGGGATGGGGCATTGACATGAGATGTGCGAAGAGGGGACGATGGGGGCTGGGAAGGGTTGAGCGAGGTATGGACGGGCAGGACTAGGGTAGGTGCTCAGGGACAGTGGGAGAGGAGGAACCAGGAAACAAGACGAAGAGTGGGGCCGGGCCGGGCCGGGGAGGGGTTGTATTTCCGACAGATATAAGACCTCCCCTCTCCGTCCTCCACCTCGCTCACCTCCCCAGAATCGTCCCGTGTCCGCCGTTTGTTGATACACATAGTCCCGCGCATCTCCCCCGCCCTGCGCGCCCCCGTCACCGCGCCCCCACTCCGCCTGCCTGTCCACCGCCGGCCCCATCGCCTGCATCATCACGCACGGCAGGCCCCCCTTCGCGCGCTCCGCCTGCTCGCCGGCGGGGGAAGCGGATGGCGCTCCGGGGGAAGCCGCGGAGGGGGCTGCGGGGGGCGGAGCGGAGGGATTTTCAACGGAGTACATCCATGCGAACGAGTCGCGCGAGTTGGGAAGCGACACCTTGAAGTACCACCCCTCGAAAAATGGCTGATCAGCGCCGCCGCCGCTGCTGCTGCTGCCCGGCGCGTAGTGGTACCCACTGTGCGGCGTGCGGCTCGGCCGCGTCACGGCGGGCGACGCTGGCGACGCTGGCGACGGCGACGCGGCGGAGCTGCTCGCCCTGGGCGACGTCGCCGGCGTCGTAGGCGACGGTCTGGAACCAGCTGATCGTGCGGAATGCTCGACCGCTCGCTGCAGCGAGTTCTGGCGGCGCAGTGCGGGACGGTGGCGGCAGGAAACGATGCTCGGTGCAGTGGCTAGCCGCCTTGAAGTTGCCGCAGGGGCGCAGGTAGCGGCTGAAGCGGCGGCCGGCATGGCGAGTCGTTCTGGCAGCACGGAAGCGACAGAGGGCGACATGGAAGGCGAATTTATGAATCACTGTGTTTCGCGTACAGTACTGCGCTTATCAACAACGACGAGCAGGGTGCCTCTTGTTGAAACTGCAATTCAAGCCAGAACTTGCGGACCAGGAATTCCTAAAGCTATTTCTCCTACACTTCAGCGAATTCGGTCCCACGGATGACTTCGTCACCTGTAATCAAGTAACCCCTCGCTAATCTGACCACCCCTTTGTGCCCTCGACCTCGAGTGTCACGAAAGAAACGGCTACAATTGTCCCACGTGGCTCGCGATACAGTTATTGGCAGGACACGAAGCGTCGCCTGGGCACCGTGCCACCTCACTCACCGTACATTCACCGACAAGAAAGTGTTCTCTTTAGGACGGTTCTGATATAAAAACGGTTGCATAGGTTAGCGAAGCGAAATCAGAAAACGTTTGTCGCTATCCTCGTTTATACCTTCATACTGGTAAAACAACGACGTTCCAATTGAAAGCTCACCACCATCTTGACTAGGCACGAATTCCCTCAGTGCTGCATTTGATTCTCAGGTTAACTGCACCGTCTCCTCTCTCGGTGAGCTGTAACCTAATCACAATTCCCTGCTTTTGCGTGACGAACGTTCAGATCACAATTAGACCCAAGGAGTCCATGTTCATTCATTGGTCGTCATGGTTTGCCACCTGGTGCAGTTGGTGTGCAACCCTACCAGCATCCACAATGCCTTGCTTGTGGTTGACAAAAAAGTGCAGACAGACTAGGGGAATGAGGATGACGAGGAACACATAGAGGAAGCTGGGTCGAAGCTCACCCGTAATCTGCAATGGCACGGGCAGGCAGGGAGACAGTTCAATGTGTAATGACAATTGAGATAGCCATTGTGAGGATGTGAATGCAAGTTGGCTTGTCTGGTTAGGTGTGGTGTGATGCAGTGAGGGTGCCATGTGGCCACAGCAGGGCAAGGCATGCATACGGAGAGGTGGAGAATTGGGAAGAAACGAGGAAGGAGAAGTCGGAGGAAGTGGAGGATAAGCACCGGCACTTCGATGGTGACAATGAACGGCCTGATCAGGGAAAGGCGGAGTCGGAGCCATGACGAGCCCTTGTCGCTCACAGAGTAGAGCGCCAAATCAGATGGTTTCTGGAGCGCTTCAGAATTTGTCTCATCTGACAAGACAAGCCAACCCACCTGCACGATGATTGCGACGATGAACGGCCCCAGCCACGACGAGCCCTTGTCGCTTACAGAGTAGAGAGAGAAAAACGCCGCCTCGCGCCCGACCGGAATCATGTCAATGAACAGCGTCTTTGAGTACGCATTCAGCCCGCCGAGAAAAAACCCAAACCAACACGCAAACACAAACAATTCCCAAGGGGCCTTCAGCCCTATGGACTGCGGCGGTGTGAGGTAGCCCAGTAGCCCCCAGAGCGGCAGCGGCAGCATGCCGGCGAGCATAAGCATGACCATGGCTTTGTTTGTGAGCACGGGCTGCATCCAGCGCTGCAGGTAGAATAGCAGCGGCGTGCAGAGAGTCGCGGTGACAGACACGCAGATGGCGAGGAAGATGAGGGTTTCCGTGGGCACACAGAGGTCCCTCTCCCCGAAGAGGACCCCGATTTGAAGAATGGTGGTGTAGCCGTCCGCGTAGACGAAGTAGCAGAGCAGAAAGGCGAAGGCCGAGCGGTAGCGGCGCGCTTCGGCGAAGAGTCGGCCCATGTGGCGCCAGCCGGCGAAGGCAGAGGAGAGGGCGGAGGCGAGGCGTGCGGTGAGGTGGGATGCGGTGCGGTGGCATGCGGAGGAGTGGGAGGAGGAGGGGAGCGGGGGTGGAGGGGGGAAGGGTGGGCCGGGGCGGGGGCGGAGCCAGAGGAAGGTGAAGAGGGAGAGGAGGAGCCACCAGAGGGCGCAGGCGAGCAGGGCGAGGCGGAGTTTGAGCAAGTCGGAGGAGACAGGGAGCGTGGCTGCGAAGGCGAGGAGCGTGGCGAGGATGGAGGCGATGCTGGCACACGCCACCCCTGTCAGTGACATGCGGTTCTCCTCCTGGTGGGCAGAGAAGGAGGGGTTGGAAAGAAATGAGGGAGGGAGCTTGAGGGAGTTGGTGGGTTGAGAGAGCAGCGTTGTGATGCTGGAACAGGCGACTCCTGCCTGTGAGTGACATGCGTGTGGTTCTCCTCCTGCAGCTGGGGGAGGGGTAGGGGAAGTGGACGGAATGGAGAGAGGGGAAGGGGGGAATAGCAGGAGGGAGAATGTCAATGTGGTGGGAGAAGAGAGGGCACAGTGAGCTGCGCTAGAAAACGTTGCCCCTGCTGCTCTTCCCTCCTGCCTCTGCCACCGGGCGTGAGCTAAAGAGTCAGTTGACACCACCCGACTGTGCAACATAGGTCTTTCGCAACTCTCAGGACGCAGCTAGAAGATTCAGTTGACACCACACCTGGTCCCGGGCGACGAGAAGCGGTGTGAACAGGTCACCCTTATCCGCCCCACACGAGTCCACGGCAACAAATGCCTCGGCACTGCTCTCCACGCCTGCATGTGTGCGCGCCTCTGCCGCCGCCCACGCCTGCCTCCCCATCAGCTCCTGCTCTCCCATCCTTTCTTGCTCGGCTTCTTCACCCCCTTGCACTGCTGACCTTTCTGTGGCCTCCTCTGCTTCCCTCTCTGCTGGCCTATCCGCCCCCGCCTCTGTCTCCGCTGCTTTCCCCGCCTCCACCGCACCAGGCATGCTGAGAGCAGCAGCAGGGAGAGAGGCAGCACAGGACAGCTCTGCATGGGCGGACGCTGCGAGCTGCGCTGCGAGGAGCACTGGAGGAGCCGCGTCCACGAGCACAGGCAGGTAGCTGATGAGGGCAGGTGGGGACGGGGGGGTGGGAAGTAGTAGGGATGGGTTGAATGAGGCGCACGTGGCATGCCTGCTTGGGTGTTGACTGCGAGCTGTGCTGCGAAGAGCACTGGAGGAGCTGCATCCACGAGCACAGGCAGGTAGCTGGTGAGGGGTGGTAGGGACAGGACATGGGAGGAGGTGGAGTGGAGGGCAAGAGAGGGAGGCGTGGGGACAAGGAACGGGGTGAATGAGGAGCACCTGCAGCTCTGCTGCTTGGGCGTTTGATGAGTCTTTTTTTGAGTCGACGCAAAGAATAGACTCAGCCCCTGTCGCTGTGCTGTTTGGGCGTTCAGTGCAAGCTGTGTTGCAAGCAGCACCAGAGGAGCCCGGTCCACCAGCACAGGCAGGTAGCAGGTGGGTGGAAATGGGGAGGGGGAGATGTACTGTGAGTGCACTGGCAGCTGTGAGTGCACTGGCAGCTGTGAGTGCATTGGCAGCTGTGAGTGCACTGGCAGCTGTGAGTGCACTGGCAGCTGTGAGCCAGCAGGCGTTCACCTGTGGGCGAGCAAGTACAGCCATGCGTGCACACTGCACCGACATGTGTGTGTGGAGGTCACACCAGTAGCACTCAACAGCGTGTGGAGGGCAAGTGCTATCTCAGCAGCATTGGCACCCGTGTATTAACCACCGATGGTAGCGATGAGGAGCAGCCATGAGAACCAACAGAAGGACCGGGACGGCAGGTAACACTGTGTGTGTGCACTGGCCATACGTGTAGCAGGTAAGGCCATGGCACTGGCGCACGGGTCCCACACACCTGTAGTAGGCGACAATGGCGAGCCCGTAGCCCACATTGGCCGTGATGAGCAGCACCCCCGAGAGCCACCAGAGGGATGGTGACACCAGCGCCATGCACAGCGCACACGCTGTTATGCCCATGGCTGTGCCGCCCTGTAGCAACTGTCAGGGGGAGCGGGCGGGGAGGATGTGCTGAGTCAACTCGAAAGTATGGCGGTATAGGGAGAGGCGGGATGGGGAGAGGCGGGCACAGAGGAGCAAGGCATGGCATGGCGTGGCGTGGCATAGCATGGCGTGGCGTGGCATGGCATGGCATGGCGTGGCGTGGCATGGCATGGCATGGCGTGGCGTGGCATGGCATGGCATGGCGTGGCGTGGCATGGCATGGCATGGCGTGGCGTGGCATGGCATGGCATGGCATGGCGTGGCGTGGCATGGCATGGCATGGCGTGGCGTGGCATGGCATGGCATGGCATGCACATGTCATCCAGATCATGGTTCCAGCCCAGCGCATGTCCATCACAGATGCACCTATGATGCGCACATGAGCTTGCTGCGCCCCATCTGTGCACCTTCAACCCGCCCTCATCCCCCACCCACCACCTTGCAGCTCCTCATCACCTTGCGAGAAGGGTGTGCAACACTGCTTCAAACAGGGTCACACAATGCTTACCTGCATCCTCCACTCGTCCTCCTAGGCCCACCCTCCCATCCGCCCCTCCTAGGCCCACCCTCCCATCCGCCCACCCTCCCATCCGCCCACCCTCCCATCCGCCCACCCTCCCATCCGCCCACCCCCACACTCCCACCCTCCCATCCGCCCACCCCCACACTCCCACCCTCCCATCCGCCCACCCCCACACTCCCACCCTCCCATCCGCCCACCCCCACACTCCCACCCTCCCATCCGCCCACCCCCACACTCCCACCCTCCCATCCGCCCACCCCCACACTCCCACCCTCCCATCCGCCCACCCCCACACTCCCACCCTCCCATCCGCCCACCCCCACACTCCCACCCTCCCATCCGCCCACCCCCACACTCCCACCCTCCCATCCGCCCACCCCCACACTCCCACCCTCCCATCCGCCCACCCCCACACTCCCACCCTCCCATCCGCCCACCCCCACACTCCCACCCTCCCATCCGCCCACCCCCACACTCCCACCCTCCCATCCGCCCCTCCCACACTCACACCCTCCCATCCGCCCCTCCCACACTCCCACCCTCCCATCCGCCCCTCCCACACTCCCACCCTCCCATTCGCCCCTCCCTCATGTCCCACATCCCACATCCCCACTCACCCGCATGCGCCCCATGCCATAGTCAGCGAGGGGCCCGAGGGTGATGAATGCGGCCACCTGGCACACCACCGACAGCCCCAGCGTGACTGTAGCGAATGCCACTGGATCCATGCTCGCCGCCCCCATCTGCACCTTGGGATTTGGCAGCGGCGAGTAGCTGGGGGGAAAACGGGGGATGGGGGGTGGGGGGGAGAGAAGGGGGAAGGGTGACGACGGGCGGGGATTGAGGAAGAGAAGAGCGATGGAAAGCGAGGTGGGAAGAAGGGTGCGGACGGGAGTGGGGAGCGAGGGATGGGGACGGGAGGGAGTGCGGTCGCCGTCCCATGTGGTGTGGGGATGGCGAGCAGCGCATACTATTATGGCATCTCCACCTCCTACCACACTGCCCTCCGCCCCCCCTCCGTCACCGCTCCGTCAACCCTCCGTCACCGCTCCGTCACCCCTCCGTCACCCCTCCGCCACCCCTCCGTCACCCCTCCGTCACCCCTCCGTCACCCCTCCGTCACCCCGACGTCACCCCGACGTCATCCCCACGTCACCCCAACAAAGTGCTCCCCCACAAACCTCAATTCCACACGCTGCGTTCCCAATAAGCTCAGCCATCCCACTCGTCCCCATTCCCCCATCTTCCCCTTCCCCCACCAGTAACCCTCTTTCCGCGTTCGCGCCGCCTCCATCCGTCCCCGCGCGTCCGCTCTCTCACCTACCCAGATGACGTCAGCAGCTGCATTCCCTCGCCGGGCACGCACTGCGCGCAATTCACGGTGACGCCGTCGACGCCGCAGTCGGGCGGGCGCGGCTGCCCCGCCTGCTGCCACGCGGCGTCGGCGGCGAGCTGGTTGAGGAGCAGCGGGAAGAACACGGGCAGCGCCACCGAGTAAAACGCGGACACCGCCGCGTCGTACAGATACCACCCCCACTCCTCGCGCCGCGTCACGGGAATTGGAGCGTCAGCGCCATCCGCGGCGGCGGCGGTGGCGAGCATTCCTTCGTCCGCCGCTTCGTGATCGTATTGCGAATTATGATCGTTTCTTTGTGGCTCGGCACGCGACGTAGCCATTCGCTCACGATGCTTTTTCTGAGTTGTTTCGGTAATCGCTCCAGGTGCCGCTCAGGACGCAGCGCGGCGCGGCTTGCCGCTGCTGGTGGGCGCGTCTCCTCTGGCGGCGGAGGCGGAGAGACGGAGGAGCTACGAGATTGAAGAAGCGGCGTCAGGGGGAAACGAGCGGGGTTTGCGGAGGAGGCGGAGGCGGAATTCTGCGCGGAATGGCTTCTGCGACGCCTCATGCTCAGCTCATCTGGAGAAATTCGCTGGAGGCAAAACTAAGGCAGAGGAGGGGAGAGTGTCAGTCGGTAGGATTGGCTGGGAGAGTTCCGAGCGAGTTCGGTCGGTGTTTGTGACGGTGGAGTTGGGTGGAATTGAGCCGCGACGCATCTGATTGTGAATCGGGTCGGGCGGGGTTCTGATTCTGAAGAGTGAAACATGCGCGCGCGGAATGCTGCAGAGAGCGGACGACACAGCGTATAGGAAGAAGGTTCGGTTCGGTCGGTGGGGTTGCAGACAACAAGGAGAGTGGTGGGGAGAGGAGGAAAAGGGAAGGGGAAGAGGAGGGGGAGTAAGCAGGGTGGAGTGGTGGTCTCGCGGTGACAGGCAGCAGGGGAGGAAGGGAAGGGAAACGAAGGTGTGTGGTGGTTTTTGTCGTTGAGCGGAACAACGGTGGCCTTTGGGGGGAACAGAATGCTGCGTTGAAAAATGTCGTTGATCGCAGCTGTTGCGTTGCGATGCGAACGAACACAGCCGCGAACTGGTCGCGCACAAACAGTACAGCGTGTCAGTGCCCCCCAAGCAGGAGAGCGATCGATGAAGACGAGGCGATGCGAAGGACTCCTTACTGGTCGATACCTTACCCCTTATAAGAAACTCACTGCTCAAATATCGCTAGATTCGCAGAGTTGTGAAATGGAAGAAATTACAGTCAATGGGCACTGATCACTAGTTCCGATGCTGTGCTGCATACAGATATTATACACCATGCACCTGAAGCTATTCTGTGATATCACTTTAAAGAAAAACTCAAACCATGTTTGCTGATCATGCAAAACATCAAAACCCTAGTAGTTTTTTGGAGTTTAGTAATAGGAAATGAAGTGAAGACCTGTGGAATTTCCGTGCAAACAAAAAGCAGTTGCGTGGCTTCCCTCGTAGGACACAATACCCGTTTTGAATCGTCTGTCATGGGGATCATTGTGGATAGGGGAAGGGGGTGTTATTGAACATTGTTATGGATGATAAGCAGGGCTCTTGCTAGGATCTGAGGGCGTCTGATTCTGTCAGACGGGTCCCCCCAGGCAAAACAATTGTTTTGTCTGATCTAGATTGGAAAATCAGATGGATATAAAAAAATGAGTCTGAAAATCAGACCATCAGACCAAAATGGTCTGAGAGAGCCCTGATGATAAGAAGCTTATGCAAGAACCGCCTTGCATTCAACAACAAACACTTCCAAACCTATGTCTGGATAGCGAATTTGCAAAGTGGCACTCACCTTTGGGGGTTGTGGTACTGAATAGTTATATATCTGCAAGTAATAAGAGGTGAACACACAAACATGTTAACATCTGTTTCTTCACATAAGCAATCTTATTTTCTCCACAAACGGTATGGCATCCAGGCCATGAAGGTGCAAAGAGGTGTGCTGACAGCATGTAAATGCAAGCAAATCAGGTTGGGTTGAAATCAATGCTGTGCACCAATCGCAACTCAAGTGTACTGATTGCAACTCACGTAAGTGAAGTTACTCTTGAACTCCCGCCAGAAGGACCGAAATTGGATGTATTGTTGTGTTGTCTGTCGTGGGCAGTGGGGATGCAACATGGGATGGGACCGAGAGGAAGGATTGAGAGGAATAAATGGAGTGAAAAAACACCACAAACAGTTGAGAAATTAAGGCTCGTGACGGAAGTATCAGCAATGCTCTACCCTTCTAAGAGGCATGGAAGGTGGGAGAATGAGGGAAAAGGGGCATAGGTGATCTGTGTGAGGGAGCAATGCACTGGGGTTTGGTGGGTGTGGAACATTGTGGGCTTTAACTAGATGGTACGACAACCTACCTTTGTGCAGTGGCAGCACGGGAGGATTACGCAAGCACAAGGTTTCACTGGTACGATCCAAGTATTTTTAGGGTTTAGGGTGCACCTACCTTCATGTAATTGATCATTTTGGCAGTGATGTTCTGGCGGTGGTACAGCATGGGATGGTACTGGTTGAGCCGCCAGTCCGTAAAGGTGGTGGGGTAGTGCGATATGCCTCGGCGGTCCTTTACCTGGAGGCACATGTTGAGGGGCATACCGGGGCACGAAGGAGGGGAGACACATAGTGTGAGGCGCGCATGGGGCAAGCGGAAGCATATTGGCGGTGGTGTTCTGGCGATGGTACAGCATGTGATGGTACTGGCTCAGCGGCCACGTGAAGGTGGTGGGGTAGTGCGATATGGAGTTCCAGTCCTTAGTCTGTCGTCCCATGTGTAGGGGGACAACACCTTGCAGAGGCAAAGGGGAGGGGAAACTGGTAGTCTAAGGACAGCATGGGGCAAGGAAAGGAGATACAGACACACTCACACACACTCACATGCAGCAGCTGAATTTGAAATAGTCGCACTCATACGCAGCAGCTGATTTTGAAATAGTCACACTCATACGCAGCAGCTGATTTCGAAATAGTCACACTCACATGCAGCAGCGTCTGAATGTAATGCTCATCAGCACAGCAGTAGCGCCCCCACTGCATCCGAAACTGCAAGCAAGCAGGGTGTGGAAGGCAAGGCAGGGTGTTTTAGGAAATGTAAGCACACTCAGCGTACAGCGATTAGAGTTCCTGGATAAATGGCATGCACGTGTACGTGGGATTCTGGGCTAATGTGTGGGCGTTGGGTAATGCTGAGTTCATGGTTAGGGTCATGTGTGGTTTAGCAGAAGTGTGCTTTGCAGGACGGCTGTCGAGAAGAGCGTACATGCTTTAAATCACAATCTCAGCTACGAGATGTTTAGGAGTGAATTGGTGCTCTCATGCCTCACAAACCCCTCGTGCTCTCATGCCTCACAAACCCCTCGTGCTCTCATGCCTCACAAACCCCTCGTGCTCTCATGCCTCACAAACCCCTCGTGCTCTCATGCCTCACAAACCCCTCGTGCTCTCATGCCTCACAAACCCCTCGTGCTCTCATGCCTCACAAACCCCTCGTGCTCTCATGCCTCACAAACCCCTCGTGCTCTCATGCCTCACAAACCCCTCGTGCTCTCATGCCTCACAAACCTCCCCACAGCAACGCATTACATGACAGCAGACTCACAGCGCATGTGCGGTTTTGCATGCGGTAGTGCTCCGTGTCCGCCACCACCCCACACCATCACACCACACCATCACACCACACCACACCACACCACACCATAGCAGCACATGACTCACAGAGCACGTGCGGTTGTGCACATCATAGTGCTCCTTGTCCGCCACCACACCACACCACACAGCACCGCTCACCACACCACACAGCAGGCTCTCACTCATAGAGTACGTGCGGTTGTGCACATCGTAGTGCTCCTTGTCCGCCACCACACCACACCACACAGCACCGCTCACCACACCACAAAGCGGGCTCTCACTCACAGAGCACGTGCGGTTGTGCACATCGTAGTGCTCCTTGTCCGCCACCACCATCTGTGCATGTCGCCGCTGCAGTATGAACCACTGCGAGGGGGGGAGGGCGCAGTCACAAGGGAGAAGAGGGATGAAGGGGGAGGGGGGATGAAGGGAGAGGGGGGAGGAAGGGAGAGGGGGGAGGAAGGGAGAGGGGGGAGGAAGGGAGAGGGGGGAGGAAGTGGAAGAGGGACGAAGCAATGCCGCTCACAATGAACCACGTGCATGCATGGGAGTGGGGGAAAGGGGTGGGGAAAGTGTTGACGAGAAAACTACACACATGAGACTCACGCGGGGTGCACATCAGTCCGCCTGGTTGCCTTATAACGAGCCCTCACCGGGTTGCCTTGTAACGAGCCCTCACCTGGTTGCCTTATAACGAGCCCTCACCTGATTATCTTCTAACGAGCCCTCACCTGGTTGCCTTATAGCGAGCCCTCACCTGGTTGCCTTATAACGAGCCCTCACCTGGTTGCCTTATAACGAGCCCTCACCTGGTTGCCTTATAACGAGCCCTCACCTGGTAGCCTTATAACGAGCCCTCACCTGGTTCCCTTATAACGAGCCCTCACCTGGTTGCCTTATAACGAGCCCTCACCTGGTTGCCTTTAACAAAGTCCCGTCGCCGTATAATGGGCATGTAGATGTGCCACAGATAGCGCTCAAACGACTTGTTGTACGGGTCGTGGTACCTGCATGGGGGCGGGTCGACCGAAAGAGGTACGGAGGGTTTAGAGAAGCGACGCTTAAGGCGCCTCAAGAGTAGATGTGCGACAGATACCACTCAAAGGGGGAGAGGGGAGAGGGGGAGAATTGTTACAGAGCGCGTAGGAGCACAATGACTTCGTGTTCTGATGGTGGAGGGTGCTGGTGGAGGTTTGGATGGATGGGACGGATGATGGGCGCCTAACAGCACAGCAGATTGTGCATCTGTTCCCTTGCTGCCTGCGCAGTACCCACGCCCCATGCCCCATGCCCCATGCCCCATGCCCACGCCCCATGCCCCATGCCCCATGCCCCATGCCCCAAGCCTGACAGGCAGCACTCACACGTCAACGTATGAGACGGCGGTTGAATTGATGTAGGTGGCTATTGTGTCGAAGTCCCACAGGGGTATGCACCTGCGGGGATGTGAAGCACGTATGCATGTGGAGCAAGCGGGTTGATCAGCATGGCGTGGCAGCAAGCAATGAAGGCGGTTGAGTTGATGTAGGTGGCGATCGTGCCCAAGTTCCACAGGGGGATGCACCTGCAGGGGAAGGGAGGCCGCAGCACGCATAAGAGGCAAGAAAGGTTGAGCAGCATAAGAGGCCGCAACACCCCGTGCCCATCAACCTTTCTTGCCTCTTATGCCTCTTCTTTCTTGCCCCGGGGAAGGGTGGCTGCAGCATGCAGCCACGGGGGTTGAGCTGATGAAGGTGGCTATGGTGTCCAAGTCCCACAGCGGTATGCACCTGAGGGGATGGAGGAGGGCATGAGTATGGGATGAGTGTGGGATGAGTGTGGGCAAAGAGGGGATGAGAGGGGGTCGAGGGGCACGTGTGCTGGCATGAAGGGGATTGAGGTGGTAGAGCTGATGAAGGTGGCTATGGTGTCCAAGTCCCACACGGGTGGAGGGGGGCATGAGTGCGGGATGAGTGTGGGCAAAGAGGGGAGGAGAGGGGGGCTTGGTGTCGGGATGCACCTGACCGCTGTCAGAGAAGCTGAAGCGCGGGGAGAGGCGAACGGGTAAAGGCGGGATGGAAGAGACAAGGGGCATCTTCTACAAAGAGATGAGAGAGGAGGGTTGGGCGTGGGACATGGGTGGGGCGGCGCGGCGAGGGGCAACGGTTAATGGGGGTGCTCCTTAACGCCAGGGACACAGCTGTCCTCCTCACTCAAGCATGTGAGAGCAGAGCAGCACACATCACTCACGCCTCGGACAGCAGCACTCATCACTCACGCCTCGGACAGCAGCACTCATCACTCACGCCTCGGACAGCAGCACACATCACTCACGCCTCGGACAGCAGCACTCATCACTCACGCCTCGGACAGCAGCACTCATCACTCACGCCTCGGACAGCAGCACGAAGTAGTGGTTGGTTCGCTCCTTGAGAGCCGCCGCCAGCAGCCGCCGCTCCGCGTCCACCATGGACATCTCACCCCATGACACCTGCACAGCCAGTGATATAGCGCAATTCCGTTATGTAAGGCACTGTAGTAGGGTTACTGTAGTACCCCGTTACTGTAGCCGCTCCGCGTCCACCATGGACATCTCACCCCATGACACCTGCACAGCCAGTGATATAGCGCAATTCCGTTATGTAAGGCACTGTAGTAGGGTTACTGTAGTACCCCGTTACTGTAGCCGCTCCGCGTCCACCATGGACATCTCACCCCATGACACCTGGCGGTCGCGGTGCAGAAGGAGAATACAAAGGAATAATAAGGGTTGCAGTATGGTAGAATTGTACCAGAGTGTGGTAGTTTTTGTACCACATGAAGCTGATCTTCATCGACCATGGACATTCTGCCATACGCTAAATGCATCTCTGCGTACAGCGAACACTGTACACGGCGTACACTGTACATGGCATACACTGCACACGGCATACACTGTACAGGCATACACCGTTCACATGCGCTTAGTAGGGTACCGAAGCACCTCGCTAAAAGCAGCTCCGCGTGCAGTTATGGCTATTTGGCCCGATGAAGAAGCCAATGCAGCGAAAGAGGCGTCACGAGCGCTGCAGTGCCCACGTGGCCCGCTGCAGTGCCCACGTGGCCCGCTGCATTGGTTGCACCGCTCACCTTGCCGCTGCACCGCTCACCTCGCCGCTTTTGATGATGCGGTCGCGGAAGAGCGCAGAGAAGTTGCGCGGGAAGCGGAAGGAGAGGTCCGCCGCGTGGATGTAGATGGAGTAGCGCCCCTCGTGGCCCTGGGGGGAGGGAGCGGGGAGAAGGGGACACGGAAAGGGGGACCGGGGAGGGAGCGGATGACGGTGGGGGGGACGCGGGAAAGAGGAGCGGGATAGGTCATGGTGCGCGGACGTGGACGGAGAAGTCTCTACCGTGTCCCTGACAGGGAGTGGGGGAAGGGGCGCAGAAACGCGCGCGGATGCGGAAGCGGGGGACCTTGAGCGCGGGATCGCGTCGAGCTGACGCAACTTGCGAGCCGCCTCGAGATTCGCTGTGGGGAAATGGAGGGCTAGTGTGAATTCTCAGATAAAGATGTCGCAACGCGAGGCCTCGTGATTGGACCTGTATTGGCCGCGACGACTTTTGACGCGACGCAACCCGGCGGATTCGCCGGGTCGCGCATGGAATCGTGATCCTTGCTGCCGCGAGCTGTTTTTGAGTCGACTCAAAACACACCTTGTTGCCGCGAGCTGTTTTTGAGTCGACTCAAAACACACCTTGTTGCCGCGAGCTGTTTTTGAGAGCTCGTCAAGAACTGCCTGCATTCGACCAATACGACCTGAAGCTACGCGGCCTGATTGGCTCGCGGTACTTGACGCGAAGCAACCCGACGGATGCGTCGGGTCGACTCAAGAGCACATGGATGGAATCCGGATCAGCAACGGTGAATCCCACGAGTCTAGCAGACGCCTTTTGAGACGACTCTAAAGTCTTCCACTTAGTCGACTCAGAGCACACATGAAATCGGGATCAGCAGAGATGACTCCCGCGACTCGACCAGACGCGCCACGCGACGACTTAGCAGCTATGACGGGGACTGGACTGGCTAGGGGAGTGTCAGGACGACTTGAAGCGTCGGCTTGACGCCCTAACCAGCCCGACTTCCGGAAGGGCCATCACTTCATTCTAGCATTAACTATCGCGCCTCGAGGTTTGAGACGTTATCAAAGCTCGATTATCGCGCGTCCGTAATTACCGTGCTCTTCCTGTCCTCGCCAACTTCGCGGCGACGCAATGCGTCGTTGCCAACTAACCCGTTCCTCGGCTGACAACTGTCGGAGTGGTATCCCGAGTTATAGGAACCAATCCGAACCGAATAGAGCCTAAACTGGCTAGGGAGGACAAGCATAGGACCCGAGACGCGGGCGACACTGAAGTCAATCTTGAGAATTCTCTAAAGCAATCTGCGGTGCGGGCTACTGCCGGCTTCCCTTAGACTGGCTGGACTCCTTGTCAGCTCTTACTCCATAAATAGTGCGCTTTTTCAGAACTCTTACCGACGGCTTCCCGTGGATTCGCTCTAGTCAACGGTCCCTCCCAGTCGCGTGTCTGGCTCCCTCGTGCACTGAATCCTGTCGCACTAGAACGCGTCGTACTGATATCTGTCGGATTCGTAACCGTTGCACTGAGGCCTGTGGCATTATCTGCTCTGCCCGCCGCCACTCACTACGCCTCGTACCCTACACACCGCGCACCTTCGCATCCGCACTCCCGCTACACCTGATTTCCGCACCGCACGATAACGGTAATTCCGTAAGCGGAGCAATTGTGTCAGTCACAGCACAGCTTACACACTCCAGCCCATACATCGGGTCCATTTTTTAGGCGCCTCAAAATTGCAGAGGCGCCCTAAAGATGACACCTCGGGTCCAGGACCCCCAACTCCGCACCCGTCAACCTCACGCGCGCCAGCCGTCAGAGGGCCAGCCCCATGTGCGCCACCCTCCGCGCAACTACCTCTGCCCGCCCACCCCCCGCACCTTGAAGAACTTCTCCCACAGCGGGGCGAGCGGAAGAGGGCCACGTGTCATGAACAGAAACGCGATCTTTCCAGGCGGCTTTCTCCACGACCGCCGCTGCGGTTGCTGTTGCTGCTGTGCAAGAGGGTGGTTCTCCGGCTGTTGCGACGACAGCTGTTTCTTCCGACCATACTCCACCAACACGTTGCCTAAATACGACGCGCCGGCCTTCTCGGGGCCCTCTAAATCCGTGGCTTTATCGAGGAAGGTCACTAACGGGGATACGCTGGACGCGATAAAGGTAAAGTTGAAAAGAAACACGACGAGGAAGATGGCGGAAAAAACGATGAGCGAAACGAACGCCCGCAGCTGCCGACTGATAGACGATGACGACGAGGGCTTTGCCGGCAATTCACACCCAACCAGCCTAGAATGCTCTAGATTCTGAGGTAAGGCCTGCCCTGCCGCGTTGGGCTTCAGCGAGGGAGAGAGGAGGAGGAGATGAGATTCGAGGTGGCCCATCGTGTCGGACAGACTCTTTCGAGAGAGAGCTACTGTAGCACTACGCTACTAGTAGAGAGTAGTTACCGCAGATGGTGGAGACGCTATCTCCCCGTTGGCATATTAACAATAAACCCGCGCGCTACTGTTCGTCTGCCGGTGTGTTGCGTGTGCACTAAGAGGCTTCTGTGGAAAACGTAATTTCGCACACATGCGCTACTTACTGGACTGGTCTAGAGAATAGGGCCCTAAGGCGATGATGGCTCTTAGGTGACATTGTCACGCCAAGAGGAAGGGGATGAAAACCTCGAGTGGCATTATCGTTACTACCACACGAGGCAGCTAGAGGACTGGACAGAGTGTCGACTACTACGAGTGTTGGGCGAGGGGTGAGAATCAAGTGATACGTAGAGGGAAGGAGGGGCCAAGGAGCGTTCCAAAGCTCCGGAATGAGTGGCGGCAGGGTGGATGATGGGGAATGGTTGGCTGGTTGTTGCGCAGAGCCACGGACAAGCCGTTGCGAGCACCTTCACCACGTTCGGCTTGACTAGAATGCTTTCTAGTTCGGCAGGGCTGCTGCTGCTGAAACTGGTGCGTACAAGAGCAACTAGGGACGCGTCAACTTCTGCAAAAAACGGCGATCGATCCTGCGCAGGATCGACTTTTCACTGGGTTCGAGGAGTTTTTAGCATATCTTGGATATAAATGCGGGGTTTCAGTGCGGTGGAAGATCGATATTGCACGATCGTCCCGTTTCTTGTAGGAGTTGACGCGTCCTAAACACGAATCCAGGGAGGGGTTTGGGGGGGCAGAATGATCAGGAGACACAGCAGAACAGTGTGGCAGCAGGGAAAACGGCTAGCAGAGATTTCACAAATGACTAAAAAGTGATACGAGATCGCGAAACGGGATACATTACGGTGAAAGCGGATGCTAATCGGTTCTAGGCGCAAATCGAAGATTCCAGATTCACATCACGCGACGCGATCCGGCCGGAGCGTGATGAGATGGGAATGGACGAATTGTGATGTGACTCGTGTGCGCGATCGCTAGACATCGGGGAAGAGCGTTTCGTTCTGACGGGCGGCGCGAGGTCGGGCACCAGGATTGGAGTTGGACGACGTGAAGTCGGCATCAAGGTGCGACGTGCTACAAGAGGACTGTACATAGACGACCAGACGGACCGAGGCACCTCGTCTAGCAAAACGACACAGTCACACAGCACAGCCGTTGAGGTTGAGAGGAAGAAATCAGTTGCATTATCTGAGATGTTATAAGGAGGTACACTGAATACGTATTATTTTGTCCCATGCTTTCAAACCATCCCTATCGTTGTAGATCAATGCACGATTCATACTGCCTAGCTCCAGACAATCATCGTAGATATGAAACCATCCGTTCTGTTAAGTTCAGAAAATACCAATTTCTCACATATACAATATCAGGATGGGCTGCATGATATAGTCCACACAAGATAACATATTGGAGTACGTAATCAATCGTACTTAGCATTCCCGTAGGTGCAGCAGTATCGCACCCGCTTCTATCGAAGCAGCGCTAACCATAGTATCGGATCAGCCCGTATCAAGAGCGGGAAGGTCAACAGTCGCAAGTCAACTGTCGCCGCTATTGACTATCTGGACACACGATTGACTCACCATCGAAGAATGGCAACAGGCGTAACCATGCGCACATGTTACATGCAGCGACTCCGTAACAAGAAAGAAGTGCACCAGTCAGATTCACTGTAGAAATGTCTGTAAAGCAGTTTAAATAAGGGAATGTACCCCTCAGAGTACATGGCTAGCAAGAGTAAACATGCTGGTATAAACATAGATATAAATGTACAACAATTGCAACATAAAGAGACAAGCAGGTGAGGTAGAACGGGCAGAAGCCCAAGAGCAGTACAAAAACGCTGAAGATCTCTAGACCCGAAGACCTTGGTGAAGACATCAGAAGTGTTGGCCCGAGAGGCCAAGTAAGAAAGACAAAGCTGACCACGCTGCTGCGACTCTCGAGCAAGAATATAGCGAAGAGCAATTTGCTTCGTTCTGTGCTCTAGTCTCTGCTCGCGACACAAGGCAAGCATTGCCTTGTTGTCGATGTACAAAACTGGAGGAGAACGAGGCCGCTCACCCATGTCAGTCAGCAGGTAGGTCAGCCAGCATAGTTGCTGTGCAGCCATGGCCCCAGCGTAGATCTCGGCCTCACAGCTGGAACCAAGCACAGAAGAAGAACGAGCGGACCTCCACAAGACAGAACGAGAGCCAAGACTGAAGGTGTAACCCTGTGATGATTGCTGAGTCGCCTTGTCCTCGGCCGAAGAAGTGTCGGAATGTCCTGTGAGTACCACTGGACCCCATCCTCCAAGCACGAGCCCCATGCCCGATGTACTGCACAACTAATGCAGTACCCTCTTCGCAGCATCAAAGTGCACCTTTCAGTATCTACCGGGAGCCACATAGCGAGCCAGAGGCTGAGAGGGTACGCGAGGCCAGGTCGTGTGTGTCAGAGGTCCAATGGTGATCCCCGATTGATCCTAGGGAAGGGTTACAGGAATGTTGGCCTGGGGGGTTATGGGCGAACTGACCCGCTACTTAACAAGCCCTTTTATCCCAATGGTCTAGTGGTTGGGATTCTGACATGGTTTCAGAGCACTAGGTCCGTAGGACCGTCTTTTTATTCGGGCCCACCTACCGTTGCGGTTACCGCGCTACCCCACGTGTTGTCCTGCACCTGCCTGCCTGCCCTCTCTTATGACGTGTTGCGCTGCGCGCGCCGTCCTGCAGCCCTCGCACTGCCTCCTACTGCCCTAGGCCAGCGCGCCGCCCCTGCAGGCCCGTAAGGCTAGGGCGCCGCCCCTGCAGGCTCGTAAGGCTTACGCGCCGCCCCTACAGGTCCACGAGCCGCCCCTGCAGGCCCGTCAAGCCCGCGAGCCGCCCCTGCAGGCCCGTCAGGCCAGAACGCGGCCCCGCCCTGCCTCTGACGCGGCCGCGCCCAGAATCTGACGCGGCCGCGCCCAGCCTCTGACGCAGCCGCGCCCTGCCTTAGACGCGGCCGCGCCCTGCATCCGACGCGGCCCCGCCCTGCCTCTGACGCGGCCGCGCCCTGCCCCTGACACGACCGCACCCTGCAGCCGACGCGGCCCCGCCCTGCCTCTGACGCTGCCGCGCCTGCCTTCAACGTGGCCGCGCCCTGCAGTCGACGCGGCCCCGCCTTGCCTTCGACGCGTCCGCGCCCTGTAGTCGACGTGGCCCCGCCCTGCCTCTGACGCGGCCGCGCCCTGCCTCTGACGCGGCCGCGCCCTGCATCCGACGCGGCCGTGCCCTGCCTCTGACGCGGCCGCGCCCTGCAGCCAACGCGGCCCCGCCCTGCCTCTGACGCGGCCGCACCCTGCAGCCGACGCGGCCCCGCCCTGCCTCTGACGCGGCCGCGCCCTGCCGCCGACGCGGCCCCGCCCGGACGCCGACGCAGCCTTGCCTGCTCTGCAGCTGACGCGGCTCCGACCTGCCGCTGACGCGGCCCCACCCTACACCTGCCGCGGCCCTACTCTGCAGCCGCTGCTGCGGCCCCGCCGTCGCCGCCGTCGTGCGCCTACCCTGCCGCCGCCCGCCGAGCGCCGGCCCTTCCCACCAAGGTGAGCACCTGCCTTGTTCGCGCACTGCCGCGCCCTCTGCCTGTCTGCCTGCCCGCCTGCCTACCGCGCCTGCCCTACCTACTGCTGCTACTACTGCTACTGCTGCTACTGGCGGTGGCCAGATGCAGCTCCAGCGACGTCCACGCGAGTCTCTCACGCCTCAGCAGCTTCGTGAGTGGTACGCTAGTTGGGGTTGTGGCGGTAGCCGTCGTGGCTGTCGCCCAGGAGCTGGTCAGTCGGGAGCGTCTGGCAGTGGCCTGCTGCAGCTGCGGCGGCGTCCACGCGAGACACTTACGCCCCAGCAGCTTCGTTAGTAGTACGCTCAGATTAGAGAGCTGCTTGGACAGAGGGTAGATATCTTTGCTCGTGACTATGATGCTATTCTCACTGCTATGTATGCATTGCCTACTAGTGCTGACCATGCCTGTTACCTGTGCGTACCGCCTGACCCAGGTATAGAGCCTGCTGCTCTAGGTGCTGGTGAGGCTGCTGCTCTAGGTGCTAGCGCGTCTCTTGCTCTAGGTGCTGGTGAGGCTACTGCTCTAGGTACTGGTGAGTCTGCTCTCTCTGGTACTGCGCCTGCTGAGGCCTTGTACACCTTCACACTTGACTCAGGTGCTTCCCGCTCCTTCTTTCGCGACAGCACCACCCTCACGCCGCTCAGCCGGCCAGTTGCAGTCTCCCTGGCAGACCCCTCTGGGGGTCCAGTCCTTGCGCACTCCTCCACGGTCCTGTTGTGTCCGGCGGTCCCGTCTGGCTCCCTGTCAGGTATTCACCTCCCCTCATTCTCTACGAACTTGGTGGCGGGTTCTGGGCTCCAGGACGCGGGTGTTCACCAGTTCACCCCGGCCTATGAGCATGTCACACACTGCACGTGTGCTCAGACGGGTCGTCACCTGGCTACCTTCAATCGGCAGCCGGGGCTGAACCTGTACTCACTGACCGCTGCGTCCCCTCAGGTAGCTGCGTCTGCGTCTGCGTCAGGTCAGCTAGCGCCCCCCTGCTTGTGTTGCGCTTTGTCACACCAAACCCTCCTTTGGCACCACCGCCTTGGTCACCCCTCGGTGCAGCGCCTTTGTAGCTTGCACCGCCGTGTCCTTGTCTCTGGTCTTCCCAAAGTTCTCCCTCCCCTCCCACCCTCGCCTGCTCCTCCCTGTCTTCCCTGTGTCGAGGGGCGGCAGCACGCTGCTCCTCACTCCTCGTTCCCTCCCACCTGGATGTGTGGGGCCCAGCCCGCGTCTGTGGACAGGGCCACGAGCGGTACTTCCTGCTGGTCGTCGACGACTACACACGTTATACCACGGTCTTCCCCTTGCAGCTCAAGGGGGAGGTCCCTGATGTTTTGATCCCTTGGATCCGCGTAGTTCGTCTCGAGCTCCGC